TTGATCAATTAATTTATTGGATTTGCTGTACTTTTTTTGACTGTACACCTGCAAGTCACACTGCTTTTTCATTCTATAGTCTGTTTGCAACATAAAAGATACTTTCTAAGTTTAACTGTCGGCTTTCCTCTGACATTCTAATTATTATATAATTAGAATTTGTTCTGTTTCCCTCAAAAAGACAGATATAAGAGAAGCTTTCTGAAAGTTTCTACACATAGTACCTGAACATTTCAAAGTACATTTAGAAAATGTTTTCCTTCCATTGCTCAATCAATAATCAAAATATTGTTTTGCAAACAATGGGAATGTTCAGTAGTATTTTGCCAAATAAATGTTCAAAATGTTATCTGATCTCTGGTTTGTAGCCAACAAGTCAAAGAAAGATTATTTGTCATATTTCTTTTCAAAAATACTTTTATTTTTATTTTTAATTGCTTACTGATGTTGACATTAACTTAAAGACAAGGAAGTTTTCTCAAAAGTTAAATGTTTGGTTTGAATATTTTTTTGGAAAAAAAAAAGAGAAAATTGCATTCAGAAAAAACATTAGTTTAAAAACTGTCATTTTTGATGTCATAGTTGACTATATGCTTTTAAAATTAAAACAAAAATAGCTTTAAAGAAGAGAAAACAAAAGAAAAAATTTTAAAATTTAATTCTATCTGACTTATTCTATTTATTGTTTCCCATGCTATTATTACTGTATTTTGCATCTTCAGTTATGTGGAAAGTGACTTTTCTGCCAGTTCAACCATGTTAGAACAGAGTTTGAAAAACTGGAGAAAAACATAGAGAATCCCATGACATTTTGTTGGGAAAAAAATTATATTCACATGTCTCCTTATATTTGCTATTTATGTAATGTTCTTGGACGTAATAGCTAACACTGTTGAACAAGCAAAATTGTTTTATCTTGAACATCTATTTGCTCATCTTGCTGTGAACAGATTATTGTTGGGTGATTTCTGTGCCGTTCAAGTGAGCTTGATAATGATAACAGAGTTTTTGAAGGCTTCTGGTATCTTCTGTAGTCAGATCTTTAGTTCAGTTATCTGACAAAAAGGAAAGAAGCCTAAACTTTTTTTTTTTTATATGCTTATATCAGATATATGTGACTGACTATTTTCTTAAATAGTTCATAGCTTTTTCTTTTAATTAGTTAGTGATGGAGCAAAAGAAAGTATTTACTTTTTCCCAAGTGTTGGTTAAACCTAGAGGAACATTATCAAATAATTTGACTTCTGTTAAAATTAAGGCAAACCAATGTGAAACAACTTGAAGCAATGATTTGGTTTAATTGTCTCCACCATTCGTGATTAGCTTAGTCAGGAGCTCTGTAGCCCTTAACAGGTATTTTTGTAGTTACTCCAGTAGAAGCAAATTATAAGAAAAGGTTTGAAGGAGAATGATGAAGCAATTTCAGTTATTTTTCTTCCAAATTTTTGTGATAGGTAGCATAAGAAGAATTTGAAAAAAAATAACCAGGAAATCTGATTCAAGGGCAATAGAGTCACACTGGAAAATGAGAGCAGAATGCAGGGTAGACTTTTGAGAGAGAGTAATATGATCGATAAATAGTTTGGCCTGGGAATATTATTACATGTGTTCGAGGGACAAATGGTGGAAATGTGACACCTTGTAATAGTGAATGAGTGAAAAGCATCTGCATATACAGATCTGGCAGCTGGTGGATACTGACCTGATGATGTGAAATATGAGGATTTTGTTGATTTAGGTGCTTGGTTTATTCCCTGTATTTTTTTAGTCTGCTTAGACAGTTCTTGCCGTCAACCTTTTCCCTGAAGGTCCTATGAAATATTATTTTTGTTGTTGTTACCATAAGATCTTGTACACACATTTTTTCACCAATTTCTTGTTTAAAAAAAAAAGTAATATCAATTTGTTGCAACAGACTCTAAGAACTCATGGTTTCCTGGGGGTCCAGTGGCTGCAATAGTTTAGATAAGTTTCTGATTTTTTAAACATTCACAAGATCTGTCTTGTAAGACATTTATAGGTTCCATCTGAAATGCAGTATTAGTGTATTTTCCCTTTGTTTAGTGTGGTCCTGTGGCATTTTTGCCATAAGAATGTAAAGAAAATTAATTTGGTCTAAACAATATAAGGGTTTTGTTTACTTCATGTTACATTTGGTAAGTTTCATACAATTTCATGTGGCTAGGCTCAGCAGGTACTACTTGGGATGTGTATCCTATTTTACATTTTCTCCACTTTAAATTGTCTGGGAGTTTCACTTTCCAATTCCTCACTATTGTGAGGGTGTAAGAAAGACACTAGGACAGTGCCCTCAATGCCTTTCTTCTCCGTTTCCATGACAACTGATACTTATGGCTGTTATCTTTTACTATATGGCCTTACATTTGTCTGAGCTGTTATGACTCATCTGCGGCATGTAAGAACATGGAGAAAATTGTGGACTATTCTGTGACTGTGTGTAATATTAAATTGCTTAAATGATCCAGCTCCTAAAGTAATTAGATATGACAATGAATTATGACTTCCTCAATGTTTTTTTCTGATTTGCCTGCACAGGTGACTGCATGTTCCTATGCCCGTTTCCACTAGGCTGAGATATTTGAACAGTAAAATGGTATATATTTGTACAGTGAAATACTATTCGCACAGTAACATCTATAGTGCTGAAATGGATTTTCTTTTTTCCTTTTCCTAAAATGTACTGGGAAGTAAAACTCGAAGTATATGGCAAGGGGTATAACAAATTTTCATTTGTACTATTTATATAATAATTTTAGTAGTATGTTTATATATTGTTATATACTTCCACAGTGTATACTACTATTTTATTTAATAATGCATACAGGATTAAACTTTAAACATTAAGTTCAGATTATGCTGAACAAATATAAAATAACTTCCTTAAACATGGTGATAGACAAATAATTCCACATAATTATATTCAGAAGTAAGTACTGTAATGAAAATCAAAATAATAAGAGACTTATTTTACATTTGCTGATACGTTTAAGCAATGAGGGAGCTGTTTGTGTTTACTTTTTCTTTCTGGAAACACAGATTTTACTGACTTCTATGTAAAAATGTTGGCTGGACCTGTTAACCAAAACCTTGTTTTTAACAATGACATAAAAAAGCAGCTGTATTACAGCCTATTTTATCTTATGTCTTAATAGATACTCAGTTAAGTATGTAGGGTGCCACTGATCTCAATGTTACTGCAGACAGAAAACAGTATTGGAAGATTGCCTTTTGGCTATTTATGTATTTAATGGATGAATTTTGTTTGTTGAGTTACATGCTACTGAAGGACAAATGGAGATTAGGAAGGAAGAAAAAGTTAGATCCATTTCACTAGATAATCATAAAGAAGATCAACTGGTTTTATGGCCTGTAAGACTTCTACAAAGCTTTGTAATGCTGATTATCTAGGATCTTTCTTAATATTCTCAGAATTATTTTCTATTAAGGAATATAAAAATTTCTTAGTTAATGAAAGTATTATTGAGTGAAATGAAGAAAAATCCATAATCTTCACCGTTTCTTAATAGATCAGTTAATTTAACTTGATATAAAGTCCATAAAAATTTGGTCTCCATTGCACCAAAATAGCTTGCATAATGGCACTATGTTCAGCTTTCAACTTCATTGAGTTTAATCACTCCATTAAGGATAAGAAGTATCTGATCAAATAGGAATGCAGCACTGCACTTTCAAAGGACTAATATAGTTTCAGTGTCTGTTGATTTTATGCCAGTAAGAAGTTTAGAAAGAAAGAGGAGGGATTATCCTTCAGATATATTTCTTCCACAAGAAGTAAATACAGACCCTATAATATTTTGCTTTTGCTCAGAAATTATTTCAGCTTAGTGTTTCAAAATTGCAGTACTCGTTTACTAAATAGATTTGTGTAATCTAAAGATTGAAAGAAAAAAAGAGACATCTTAAAATGTCTTGGGATACCTACTTTGTTTTGTAATAGCTGAAGTATGATTTCTGTTACAGTTGGCTAGTTTCTCAGGTTTCTTTTTACTAGACTTTTCCAAGCTATCAGAAAACTCAGTAAATTTGGTGTGGGGCCTGCTAATTTTACCGACACTTTGTCAGCCTTCAGCCTGACAGCTCCAAAGGAGATTAGGTTACCCTTATATGGTTGCAATACAACATACAGTGGTTTGTCAGCAAATGATTTGTCTTCAGAAAAGGATGGTGCTTAAAAATGATTGTTTAAACATCTTTTTACACTTTATCCATTGCAGTTACAGATCACTTCTGATGATGCAATTATGATTAAAAATGGAGACCTATAGAACAAATAAACTCAGTTTTTGAAACAAATTCTTTGTGTTTGGATGGATTAGTTGTGCTAGTATGTTTTTAGAATAAGGTAATTAAAATTGAGATAAAACAGTAGTTCATCTTTCTAGAATAGAATGTCATTAGTTCAGCTCAAAAATAAAACAAAATTTCTCTTAAACATGACAACTGTAAGAAGTAGCACTTTTGAGCAAGCAAATAGGTCTATAAGTTGATCCTCTGTGAGCACAAGCACTTCAGATTGCATTAAACGTATGAAGAGCACTGCAGCATAAAAGTACTAGCAGTTGGCTGTGCTGTCATCAGAGAAATTTCATGTTCTCTTCAAGCCTGAAATTGATGGCCAGAACAGTCAGGCAAGCATCAACATAATTGTAAAACCTGGTTTATTTCTTAAAAATAAATACAAAAATATAAATATAAAACATTAGCAGATAGAATTTGATGAAATGAAGTTGCACAAACTTTTTTCTTTAAAACAGCTGCATATTACACTTATTAACACCACGTGTACATTTTGTTTTAATGTACAGAACAGAACATACTGGATTTTTTCTTCTTTGCCATCTTAAAAGCTGTACTTGCAAGGATAGGACATGTACCTAACAGAAGCGGTTTGTAAATGAGGTTGCTTAAGGGATTATCACCCTGTTCAAATTTCTGAAGGTAAGGTACTGTTTATTTTGCTTACTAAAATGGACAACACTGACTTTCCACAGCTTTGGCTCTTGGAAGGTGATTAAATAAAATGTTGTATATATTCCAATTGACAACCTACTAGAAAGAATGAATGACATTAATCAACAAATTAAAAACAAATTTTAAAAGGAAACCATTGTGCTGAGTGGTAGGAAATTTTTCCCGAATGTTAAATACTGTTGAGTGCAGGTGTCTGTAAAATTACTTCCGCTCAAGGAAACAAAAATGTATCCTACTGTAGGTTAAGAAGTGTCTTTGTCACTTTCTCCTCCACCATACATTTCAGCTAGCTTATTAAACCGAGGGCCCCATTCTCGGAGGTAATCATAGTTTTGGTCTCCTTCAGTAGTGCCCGACTCTAAGGAGCTCAAGGATTCAGCTATTGAATCATTTCCTTCATAGGCATAGGTTGCAAGCGAGTCATACGGCGGTGCAGAAGGATCAGTATCGTGCTCTTTTAGCCTTTGGTTAATGAAGTCTCGGACATCTGTGTTATCTGGTGCTGAAGGAGTCCTCCGTGGTACAAATAATGTTTCAGGGATAATGTCTCGTCGAAGCTTCTTATCTTCGATAGCTGCAGGATTCCTCAGTGTGCCAATATCAAAGGCTTGGGTGTCTTCCTCTCCACCGCCTTCATCATTATAACTCACAATATTGTCTCTGATGTCCTCTTTAGAGAGGATCAAAGGCTCCTTCTTCCGTTGCCGCTTTAGAGCAGCAAACAGCACCACTATAACTTAAAGAGAGAAACAAAGAATGGGCACAGATGTTTATTTAACAGTTTCTTAGTAGCAAATCCACCAGATACAAGAGCTTTATTTCAGATATATTTTAGCAATTAATTTCTGTCTGATAAATGGATAAACATCTGTATCAGTATTACAATAGCACAGTAAGGTCTGTATCAAAATGTGCTATTTTGCACACACAATTGTGTGCTCTGCTTTACAGAATCATGAGCTTGCCTACATGCTGGTTCTGTAACTTTAATGAGTTTTAAAATAGCTAGGTATATTCTGAAGATCTTTTCCCTCTTTTATACTCAAAGTATTCTGTTAAAAAATGGTTTTGAGGTGAATTATAAGTCATTAGTGATATTCTGAAAACTGCAAAATGGGGGTTTTACAAAATTCACTTTTTTTTTTTTTAATTACAGCACAGAAATCTCTGAATAGACAGTGCTTTATTATAGTGAATAATACTATTTACTGCCATATTCTGTATGACATGTATACTGCATGTTGACTTTAGGTAGTTATTTAAATAAAAAAGTTCCCTCAAAAAATTTAAAATGAAAGACATGAAAGTGATTTTTGATTGTGTTGTTTCTCCTCTCTGATCTTCTTCTTTGGACAGTGTAACAAAAGGAAAAAAATGAGCTGCTGTTTGCACACTGGTAGTTTTAACAGTCTGGGACTTTAACTCTTATTCACAATGTCCAATTTCCAGACAAATGGGTTTTCCCTTTTTTGTTTGTTTGTTTTAAGTTACAATTGAATTATTGTTGCAAAACCCATGATCATTTATTTTACTAACCTGCATAATTTTGTAAAATGAGTTAGGCGTGAAGCGTTTGCTCATAGAGGGAAAGATGCATTTATTTTTCTTACCTAGCAGGATAATGATGCAGAGGAGAATGGCAACCAGTGCCCCTGTGCTGAGCCCAGCAGGGAGGAGCAAGGCCTCAGCATTGCAGGACTGCATGTTCCCCCGGCTGTCGCAGGCACAAACTCGAATGGTCAGCGTGCCAGTGCTGCTCTGGATCGGGTAGTCATTGTCTGATATCACCACTGGTAGAAGGTAAGTACTTATTTCATGTCGACTAAAGCCATTCCTTCTTGTCAAAATTCTGGCAGTGTTATCTAGATTGATTAAAATATACTGTTGTAGAGTATATGAATATAAAATGTATCATTTATAGTAAATACAAACCATCATATTTTACATTACTGGTAGCATCTTGAAACTGTTCCTGATAGCATAGTGGTATCTCTCTTTTTCTAATGACATTCCCATTTGATTAGAGAGCTATTTATAATTTTTTATGTACATCTGGCCTGCTTCTCTGTGCTTCTGCACCACCTTCAAGTGTGATTTGAAAAGAGGATTTCTCAAAGCTTAAAATGTTTTATAGATTAATGCATGCAGTGTGTGACACAGTTCCAGTTCAGGGCTGAAGCCCTGAAATGAAGTGGCCAACTGAGAAAAAAATAACCTTCCACTTCATGCTGTTCAACAAGCACTCTGTTCTGAAAGATTCTTTCTATGGATCTTCTGTGACAACACCCACAGGAATGCTATCTGTAAACTCAGTGTGAGATTTTCCACACCAGAACACTTTCAACATACTGTAGAGCAATGAATTATGTACCTTAGCACATGGAGTAGAATTTTTGGTTAAAAATTGTCTTAGGAATTCAGAAAATGTGAAAGATGGTAAGTATTTCCACACAGTTTTGACAAGTGAATTTACTAAACTATATTTGTAGCAGACAAATCTTAGTTGCCTGTATACCTCAACATAAAAGCTGTTGACTGAGTGGCCAGAGGGAAGGAAAGGAAGGGAGGGAATGAATTACAGGGGGAGACTATTTCTTTTGTTGTTAGGGCTATAACACTGGAGTGTGTTGTAACTTTCTAGTCCAAAAGAGAGAAAATACAGATTCAGTCTCTGTTAGGAGGAAAATTTAATTTCCATCATACTTGTGGGTCTCTTGAGGTAAGTGGTTAGCTATCTTGCCAGCTAACTTCAGGCTGAATTAAAATAACCCATGTGCAAAAAGAAAGAAAATAATTACAGATAAAGAAATAGCAAGGTCTATACCTCTATACACTCAGGACGTAGCCACCAGGATATAACCTTCTTTAAAATGTTAATTTTTTTTTTTTTTTCATAGTCTCCATGAACACAAATTTTCCTTTATTGCATCCCTTCATTGGTTTTGGGTATTTGTTCGCTATTTCTTTTCACTCAACATCTAAAACTATGTGTCTGACATACCTCTGCTGCTGGGGATTTTAAAAGGTACCCAAACAATTTGATTTTAGTTTTTCACTTTCCCTA